AGGACACAGCTGACATATGAGACAGCCTTTTGCACTTATCGCACCGAGCTTATCGATCAATGCACTGCACTGGACAATTGCTATTCCAGTGCTGTGAGTGTGTTTAAGGCGACCAAGGAACTTATCCTCAAGTCCAACTCAAGCCGCCACGTGGCCTTCATCGCTGCCAGGCAGGTGCAATGCTACATCCGCATACTGCAGTCGGACAACCTCACAATGGCCGCAATCGAGGCCTGTGATTACAAGCTGGTCGACACGTCTCCCCTGGCTTTGACAGTGCCTGCGATCCCCCTCCCGCCCAACTGCGACGTCTCCGTGGTGGCGGAGCACCCGTGTGACACCGCGTGGGTCACCAAGAACTACCAGGACGTCGCTAAGTACTGGGTTGCAGAGCAAATTGCCCACGCGACTTGTGGCGGGCTCAGCACAGTATGAAGCAAGCCCTAGGCAATGAACCCTTGCAAAGACCCCAACAGTTAAAGCCGTTAAAACCGAACCGCCGCCCAAGATTGCAGGTATGCCGTGCCTGGACCCATTTGGAAGCCTCCGCACCAGTGATATAGCGCGGATTAGCGCGGAGGTACGCAGCGGCCTTACAAGTGCCTTTCATGTGAGATTTCTGATGGAGCCACATTCCGTTGCCATGCGAATGACTCTCAAGGTCAGTTCTCCTGAGCCTTGCCTTGGGATGTCCAGGAATTCAGCCGCGAGCATGCTGCGGTTCACGGGCATGCACGGGCCGTTTCGATGCTGGCAAGGGTTTCAGAGGCTCCAACAGTTGCAGCTGACCTTCGCATGGGAGTGCCAAATGTGCGCTCGAACAGTGCCTGTACCGTGGGGCAGAGGTGTAGTTTCGCGAAGTCACTGACAAGCGGGTGAGAGATCATCCGTAACCGTTGGTGTTGTTCCAACAGGGCCTGCAGTTGATGCAGGCTTGACCTCTTTAGGGTCCAGGTTGACATGCAGCCCAATGATGGTGGCATGGCTCATCGTTCCGTTTCTGGGCCTTTTCAGCCAATGTGACCTATATCAGCTTTTCCATGATAGGCCAGGTCTTCCTAGGAAATTGATGGATGTTGCATGAATTTGCCAGGATCTAGAAAACCAATGGATGTTGTATGGTTTTCATAGGATTCTCCTAGCAGAAACATACTTTTCCAAGGTCAGGCTAGGGCGAGGCAGCGAAAATCATAACAAATAAATGAATAAATAGCATAAAGCCAACGTAAACAAACCCATCAAAAAAAGACTTGAAGAAACCATAGGAAGAACATAAGAAAGACACAAATGCAAAACTATACTAAAACGCAGATCGTAAATAAACCGTAAATGCAAAACGTAAAAGAAACATAAGCAAATCATTAAAGAACTTAATCACGGATCCGGCTGTTAGGCAGCAACAGATTGTCACAACTGCAGCGCCTGGTTCCGGAGTGCCAAACGCGTGCTCCAACAGCGATTGTTTGTGCTCTCATATCTGGGGCTAGGCATAGCTAGGAGAAGTATCAGATCTGCTTGAGCCCTTGGCGAAGGGGCATTGTAATATAGCTGAGATCACACCGTCGGGTGTGAGATCATCCAGACCGGTGGTATCGTTCCAGCCGAGCCTGCGATTGACTTCCGATGTCGGTCCTGGGTTTTGGGTTTGGTGGAAAATGTCTACGTTTAGAGTTTTTGGGCTTCATGGAGGTTTTCCAGAGTGTTCGAGTGCTCCGGATGATGTTGATGCAGGCTTGGCCATTCAAGGGTGCAGGGTGACTTGTGCAGCCCAATGATGGCTGCACGGCTCATCAAGGTTCCTGTCCTGGACTCTTGAAAGCCAATGTGACTTATATCAGCCTTTCTGTGGTGATAGGCGCACGCGTGAGAGAATGCCCACGGAAAGCGTCTAATTTCCCTTGAGGTTTATTTCAACAGGTACTTCTTCATGTCACGACAGCATGTCTGACAATGTGAGGCATTTGGTGCCAGGCAAGACACCCAGGGGTAGAAACACCAGGATTGTCCCAGCCATGCTACACCGACTGCTAGCCATCGCAGCTTGGCGGCATTTCGAATCAGAAAACAAGGAACCGGTCCTTTCAACACTACCGCTTGTTCCACTAAGTTAAGGGTTTAGGTACGCACGTCCTCTGATGATTCATTCAAGTTGGTACTTGGAGGATCATGGGACTTAGTAAGTAAGGCCCTATTGGGGTTATAAGTATAGTTACCTTAATCATAACCCTACTTACTAAGTCCTATGATCCTTTCAGTAGGGTATGGCTTGAGTTTCGGGCTTCGTCGTTACAACGCCTTTAAACTGGGGTTGTTTGGGGTTTTTCAGGTCTTCCGGTACCCAGCTCTCAGTGTGCGGAGCTTTGTACACATGCTTAAAGGATCATGGGGCTTAGTAGGTAGGGTTATAACTAAGGTAACTATACTTATAACCCCCAATTAGGGGACTTATAACCTTACTTACTAAGTCCCATGATCCTCCAAGTAGTTACAGGGCTCCGCGAAGGAAACTATTGGCAAGGCGACTTCTCCGTGGAAGTGTCAGAAAAGGAGGCACCAAAACAATTGTAGCGCTCACAGAAAGCAGTCTTCATATAAGGACCCCTAGATAAGCCACCCCAGCCGCTGAAACTTTTCCTTTGTGGTCGTGAAACGACGTGTTGCCCCTTCGGGTTTTCGCGGGCGCGGGAGGAAGACCGTAAACTTGAAGTTGCATCCTGTTCCGCGCCTGCTTCGCCATGGGGCTACTGAGTTGGACCCAATGCAATAGCCCTTTCTTTCCCCCGCTTCATAGCAATGCTTCAGTCTTCAGTTTCAGGAATCCCAAGACTCCAAAGCCCCTTAGTTAAGGAATAGACCTGAAACTATAATAGGAATCCTAATATGATGTAAGGTATATTGCTTAATTAAGGGGTTTTGGAGTCTCTGGGAAGCTGTAGCCGTATGCGCGACTTCTTCATATTTTTGAGATCCAAAACTCAAGGATCTCATCCTACTTGGCTTTCATATCTAAGGATCCCCTCGAGTAGTTAAGGCCAAGCAAGACCAGGTTTGAACATTTTCGGTGTAGGTGTTTGGGCCAGGTCGTGGATTTCAAACACCGCCCCTTTTGTACGAACCACGAACCTTCCTCAGCCCTAGATTCAGGTCCTCTTGTCTGCAGCGCGGGCGCAGACCTGCGGCGAGGATGACCAGACCTGCCAACAGCCTGGCAATCTCGGCGAAGAGGGAACGTTCATGCAGGTGCGCGTCGCTGACGAATCTGTCGACGGATCGACCGAAGGATCCCAGACGAACACATCTATGGCAAGCTACGTGGAAAAGGTCCTAGGCAAAGTCACGGCTCTCGGTGGCAGCCACCAGAACAACGTGGAGCTCGCTAAGGATGAGGTCCGCAACCTCGCCATTCAACTGGCAGCAGATCCCGACTACACCGTCTTCAACGTGAGCCAGTCCAACATGCACGATGCCTTTGAGAGGATCATCGCAGAGATGGAAGAGATCATCAACGACACCTTGGTGTCCTTGGACAAGGACCACAAGGAGTTCGACATCATGATTGATAATATCCTCAAGTGCGGTGTGAATCTCAAAGCCAGCAATGTGAGCGTGACGGAAAT